TGCAACATCAAGTCGAGTTGAGAATTCGGCTAACCCAGGAACGGATATAATAGACTGCGAATAGAGAACGCGTATGTATGTGTGCCTCATGCTGAGGCTGATGTCGCATTCATGATGCTTCTTCACCGCAGTTGGGCTAAACCAACTTACACTTAAACTAGGTCTTTTTAATGTGGATAAAATTCATTACATTTTATTTGGTTTATCCTGCGTACTTGATAATCTTCTCCCAACTTACACACGTCGCTCATGCAAATTGTGGTAGCCTTGCGTAATTTTATCGCGCTTGGAATGTTTTAACTAACTTTCGGACATTTTGTACTTATCGCGTATTCATATTTAACCACTTTCTTCCATATGCTGATTCAGCGAGTATTTATGTCGTCATATGCGTTTACTTTATTCCATATCGGCATTCCGAATGATTGGCTGTTGTTTGACATCCCAGGTGTGGCTGCGCTTGATGTGCATGTTGACAAGGTGCCTACCTGTCTACTACCCACTACCTCGTCCATCTGGCTCCAGGAGACAGTTGGTCGTTGCCGCAGGGGACGGGGTGCACGGTCCTTGTGGTCGTGCTAGGCTCGAAGAGCGGTTCCATGCAGTCAGTGTGGAGCGGACTACGGTCCAGCCACCGCCTTGTGTGCGCTTGATTCCCTAAATACAGCGTGCTTGTGTTTGCCTGTGAAGGAGTGTGGGCCGGCTCCGTTGATGAAACGTGGCTCCTATCCACATGCCTCCCGGTCTTATTCCTTCGGGTTTACACTGAATATGGGATGTGTGGATGGAGCTGTAGGTGGTGCAGCGCAAGCCATCCATGGTCCCTCTGTAGGCGCAGGTGTCCTGTGGCTGGCCACAGTAACAGGCAAATCCGAAACCGGATTATATATATACATATAGGCTGCACCCATTTTATGTAAGAAGCATTGTAACCGAAATTACCTGTAAACATTTCAAGTACAATTGTTGAACCGCAGCTCCATTAAAGACTCCTAACCGCCTGCATTTCTGGTGATACGATAGTAGTTTCGCTACGTCTATACTTCTGATCCAGTTGACTTCATTCTAGCTTTAGCTGTCCTTACTCCTAAGTTTTCTTTCAGGTTTGCAAGTATTATGTGGCCCTCGCTAGCCATTTTATCATTTATCTGGGCCCACTGCAAAATGTGTTTGGTGACCCCGTCTACAATGCACCGGCGCATGATATACACCTGTCCGGGTTCAATGCATTGGCTGAGTGCTGTGGAGCTCGCTTGTCATCTGAACAAAGTCCCCATTCACAACGGAGACTATACGATGATAAAATACACAATTTAAACGTTGAAGTGCAGTATGTAGTCGCCTTCGATGTGTGCTCATGATTCACGAACATCTCTTTGGAACAAAGGTAGCCATGCTGACAAAGTGGGATTCACAGCGACCCCAATCAAATCGTTAGTCCGTTTATGCAAAAAGGATATCCAGTTACGATTTAACGGAACCCTGTATCAGCAGATTGACGGCGTAGGCATGGGTAGTTTACTGCGGCCAATTCTAGTTGATAACTTGATGGGTTACGATGAAAATACGAAGTTACGTCCTTATGTGCAAAATGAGCACTTTTACAGTCGCTATAGGGACGACACGTTTGTCATCGTTGGCACTATTCCAAAAGCGGCGTTAAGTATTGAAAATGAGGAAGATGTGCCCTCCCGTAATCCAATTTACGGTTGAAAACGAATCCGATAGCAGCTACCGTTTCTGAGATGTTAACCTACAGAAGAATCCACATGGCACACTCATGCGGTCTGTATACAAGAAGCTAAGGTGAAAAGGACAATATACCAACTTCAATATTTCCCTTCTACGAACTATAAGCGAGCTATAGTCTGCATCATGTTTGCCAGAACTCGTCAAATTTGCTCCCTGGAAACGATCGAAAGAGAACTTTAACGTGTCACATGACACGTGACATGACACGAGAACTCAAATCTCACGGTGAAACCATTAAGTAATGACCCCAAGAAAAAGTGTTCATTACGCTACCTATGAAAGCGGACCAAGTTGACAGAGGATGTCGGTATCGTGTCCGCCCATATATTAAGAAGTGTTACAATATAGTTGAACTAGTAGGGTTGCACCAAACAAGAGGGCTGCTATGCAAATCCAGTCTAGAAAAACCAGACTGTCAAGTTACCGCTTCATGTGCCTATCTGTATCACTGTACTTGCGGTAGCAAGTACGCTGGGCGAACTGAGAGAAGGCTGTCTGCAAGGATCGTACAACACATTCCTGTTAACATGGTTGCGAAGGGCCCCAAGCTACCTATCAGCTCAATTGCTCTGCGTGCCGAAACCAATGCGGTCGTTCAGGGTAACTAACAGAGACCTCCGTCTACTTCAGCTTGCCATGCTTTCGGTGATACAGCAGCTGAAACCAAGTTTATGTAGACAGACAGGTTTTGTGGCCAGCTTCGCCCTACCATGGTGAAATCAGTGTTTGTTACCCCCAATCGAAATGCGTATGAGCCCAGTGACATTTGAATGTCTGGACTTTCACTAAGTAACTTCAAGTTAGATGTTTTGTATGCAACTTAGTCATTCCACAACTCATAAGTGTACAGCTGAGGAGAATAATCGAAATAGCTGGATACGGTTCCTTCTCATTCTTTTGAAATTTGTGAAGGAAAATAGTTAGATGAGATATTTAGCTGTTTGCAGAATCCGTCTGGACCCATGATCATCAGTATGATTGAGGTGGATGAGCAAGTTGGAAACGGAGAAACAAGGACAGAAGGAACGTGGTGAACACGTCAGGCGTTGTCGGTAATGGGAAACATTCCAGACAGGGCTTGACAAGCGGGTCATGCGTGACCGATTGACGGAACATCGTTTACGGATCGCGTTATACGTTGGCCAGACACACTGGAGGGTTTATTCCCAGTCAGATGAAGTAGAAGACGCCAAAGCGTGGCAGAAAACGCCGGAGTAAGGGACTAAATGGTCAAGTTATCTCACAGAATAGGGTACGACGCATATTTAGAGTGGAAGGCGATAAAGCCACATCACAGCAAGGAGAGCATCACGGAATTTGGGAGCATTGTCGGAACATTTTGAGCCATCAAGCAGTCTCGCTCAAAGATTCTTTGACTCATTCCGAAACTGACGAGAAGACCTTTCTGGGACTGCGATTTATGTTCTGGAAGTTGGAGAGTACCATCGACGTCACTGGCGACAGGTGTAGGGAGTGCTGCGACGCTGTGAAGAAATCTGACCGTGTGAGGCCTAACACTGCTTATTGAACACGTGGACTTGAGATGTGCAAACCATCCCTTGGTGTTTCTTAACCGAAAAGGTGACAAGCGAGGACAACCATAAGAACAACATTGTATTGCAAGTGTACGTAAAGTGAATGAAGATAGACCTCGGAGCTGAAGAAGGATAAACGGAAGTAATAGGAAAACTAAGCGGTCAAATCAAATATCCTTTTAACCGGGATCATCAACAAGGAAGCGAGTGCTTACGTGTAAAAAAAACTGAATATGCGTAGAGTCAACCAACCTTTGAAGAATTATATCAACGTATCATATGTGTTAGGTAAGAAGGTAGCAGAAATACGCCGGTACGTAGTATCGAGGCTTCGCTACCGCGCAATCACCAACAGCCGCGCGTGGACTGAAGATATTAAGAGGGTCGGCCGGTCTCATATGCAAAATCTAACCCGCAACCACGGATTACAATGCAATTTTATGATCCTTTTGGCTACGGGCCTGTTGTGTTAGATAAACGCTTAGTAAACAATTCCTAAGGTTACAATAACTATAAGAAAACCGAGGCAGAATCCGCATATATGAGACGCAAACGCGTAAGTATCTGGCAGCATAGGATCACGGTAGTGTTCGAGATGGATTAACGTGGCTGAAACGTTCGCATAAGCTAACTGTTTAACTCACTTAATTGCGCGATAAGATCAACCTTTTTGAATGTTTTACACATAATCGGCGACCGGATGGAGAGAACTCAAGAAATCGCTCAGTATTTCAGGTAGTTTAGTTCTGCTTAGCAATTCCATGTGTTTATACCGCGGCTTTGTAATGGACACGTTAATAGCATAGTAACTTGAGTGCCAGATGGCGAAATGTAAGGGTAATGGCGACGATACCCTGCGGAAAACGGCAGATATTAGCGAGTGGTAAACTACTACAGTAGGACAAATCACGTAGACGGTCAAGGACAAAGTGGCTCGAGCGAGAAATTGGCGTCACTAGATCTACAATGGCACATAAAGGTCAGTGGAAGTCAGAAGGTATTCCGAGACAGTCCAACTACACATCTCGTCAAAGGGGAAGTTAAGATAAGACCGTGTGCAAAACAGACAAATGGATTTCCAGTAAATCGGAAGCATGTGTGCATCAGCGCCCTTGTTACACAGGTACAGCGACCGTCGCCGAATGTGCAGATCGGTGACTAGTGGAGAGATAATTTTCTACCTTCACGTGAACACTGCTCTAACAGTCGTGTCCATTCAACCACTTTGTTAGGCAATATCTCGGGAAAAGAAGACCAGAAATCGCGAATACCAAAACAAGATTCAATGCGACGAGTGATTCGCAATGAACGATATCTCATAGGAAAGTAGAAGAAGCTCTGAAAAATATCAAGGCTGCAGATTGCGTAAGACGAATGCATATGTACAGGTGCTCAATTATGTACCTACGATGAAAAGGGCGGAGTTGGGAATGATGCGGTACAGGGTCAGACAATCGTGGACCATACAAGGCACTCCGGGATAGCCGGGAGGAGGGGGGGAAGGTGATTGAGCAAACTGAGAATAAAAAAGTACCAGAGGCTCGGTTCGACAGTCAATACAAACATACAATAGGGTGAAAAGCAGGACTGGACAGTCCAGAGGATGAAAGACATAATTAGCAGACTTGTGGATCATTTTGCACAACCACACATCAAGAACTGATTAGGTGGGAAAAGAGATAATTAAACGAAAGTGCACTTGATCTGTTAGGCTGAGGATGCAGGCGGTGGTGGTGATGGTGGACAATTCGCAAACGGGGGTGGTGGCTCAACCTGACTCAGACTCGTGAACAAAGCGGAGGCAGAGGTAAGATAGCCGGAATGCAAGCTACCCGCTGAGGGACCGGCGGTCAAGTAGGCTGTGGCCGAATGAGGCGCGTTGGACAAAAATAGCGCATGCCCTTGATCTCGATACTCCGCCCAGTTGGGATGGGATTCGAGGGATTTGGTCACCTAATGAGGTAAACAAAACAGATTAATCAACAAACAGCGAAAATAGTGAAAACTTTAATTCGCAATGATACGCACTTTGGTTCCATAAAGGGTGCTTCGCTGCATCGCCTTCAGCGCCTTTACAAGATATGCACAAGACTGACCGGGCTCCCGAACAGATCGAGGTAGTCCATTGCGAAGCAGATCCAGGACGAAGCCGATGAGGTTGTGCTTGAGCGCCTATACAATGATAATACCAAGAAGATGATAGTTTGGAAGACGGTATCAAAAGTCAACAAAGTCGAGTGCAAAGAGGAAAATCAGAAGAGGTAGATTGCGAGAGGTTGCCATTCCGTGCATACATATTAACCACAAAATATGCAACAGTGATATGTAAATGAACAACCAACAATGTCAAAGAGATCGTAAATAGCCACGTATTTGTGCTACCAGGGTAGGCTTAAAGTTACAGGCAGCTGTTTTTGAATTCATAGCGGTGGTCGCTCACGATGAAACTGCGAAGCCGCCGACCGCACAACAAGAGTGTGAAGGATTCATCAGAATCAACTCGGTGCCCGATGGTAAGCAAGTGTTTTGTGACTACCGAGGCAGTTCTGTTTCCACGTTCCGTCGTTACAGTCCCCATTTGGGGGACGTGTTCATTGATTCTGATGCCTACACTCCGGTTAGTGCACGCAATGTAAGAGTCTCCACAGTTACAGGTGAATTTATGCAGACAGTGGGACATGCACTGCATCATCGTCGGTGTCTTAATAGGGCACATAAGCACAGGTATCATCGAGGCGAGCAGCCGCAGTTCCGCCGCATTGCACCCTCTGAGAGAAGCCCTTGTCCGGTTCACGGGGACCTTCATAACGTGGTCACCATTGAAAGATAGTTCCATGAAGATTGGCTTCTTTGAAAGCTAAGAGTGTTCGTTAGAGTTCATAACGTCGGTCGGTTGCCGAGTGGCCTGCGCCCCTGGCTTTTAATCATAAGGTCACCAGGTTGAATCTGCGTAGGAGCGGGCGTCATCGCGGAATACTCAGCCCACGCGCGACTGGTGGCGGTCGCGCGGCAGCGTAGTGCCGTTATGGGGTAAAGCCGACAAATTATTATTATTATTACTATTATTATTATTATTTGGTTATGCATAATCCCTATGAGATGCAAATTAGTAGGCAAGGTGTGACGAAACCAAACGTTCAGACCACGTACCTGAGCAATGAGTGGATCGGAATCAGGGTTATCGAAAATGCAAAATAATGTTTCACCGACCAAACCGAGTTCCTCGCCGATGCAGCAACTCACGACACGCAAAATGCCACCGATTGTGTCACGTTCCGCCATGGCTTGGACACACAACTGGAAAGAAGAAACAGTGTGAAACAGACTCGACACAATTCGGCACCAAGTGTATACAACATTCGACGAGTAGACGACTGGGACATCTATCGTTCAAATCGATCAGAGGACAATGAAGGCAGATGACTATTCTGAGATAAAGAGGCGGTAAAATTACCCTCTTGATGACTCCAAGGCAAACAGACTAAGCTACACGCGAGTACGCAATGCGGTCAAGTAAGAGGCCATCAACCGATAAGGATGGAATAGTGGGCTTTGGTAAAATCCAAGCTGACTATGAATTAATCACCATTCGCCTGAGCCGAGGCTGCTTGAACGGTTGTTCCGATTAAACGATGGTGATATTTAGAGAAAATTGTCATCGTGATGCGGTGTTACAGACGAAGTAAACAACGCCCACTAATGAGAAGGTAAAAAGTATTGCGAAAATTTGCATCCACACTTAATTCAGTTGCACACCTCATGAAAGTAGGCATTGTGGAGGTGCAAATTGCTCCGAAGTATGACCATGAGCCCACTAGATGTAATCAAACGAAAACCGTCTGTGTGACCAGGGAACGTTTGTGAATTAAGAGGATAATGATCACTTAGACTATAGATAAGATGACCTGATAAGCCATATATAATTTATATATATATATATATATATATATATATATATATATATATATATCCTATCAGGCACAAGGAAAAACGCCAGGTGGCTGTTTCATCCAATTGGGACTCGTCATTCGCCCGTATCACCAGATAAAACCGAACCTATGACCTATCGAATCTTCAGCCACTGTGCTAAGGTGGACAAAAGTAAATCATCATGACTGATGAATAACGGGGATACAGCTCTTCGGAATTGTTTGACCGTCCCCAAGCTATTCCAGTTGATTCAAGCTGCGATGTAGTAAGTCACAACCTCAGTCAACAACTCAAGCAAAACATGCGAAACAATCGCGATTTTAGACGTTGCGTCTTAGGAAATACGAACCTACTTCTCGATAAGCTATTATCGCTGCGCCAACTAAGGTAGGTATGCCAGGTCCGACCCATGCTGTGCAAGCGTTTGCCACGGCTAACTCAATTCGCTCGAGAATAGCCGCAGTGAAAAAAATTCCGCGGTGACCAACCTACCACATGGCGACAAAACCTTAAGGCGCCGAGTGCTAGTCTAGTTGTTGTCGACCCCGTACATATTCCGGGGTGGGAAGTCAGAGATGAAGAAGCAAGTTGGCTGGAAAGTTTTGAGGACATGGCGCATAATCGCAGGTAATAGGAGGTCTGCATAAGCCTATGCAATGATTATACTGATCAACACTAATCACGAAACTGACAAAACAAGAGAAAACAGAGTGTAAAAAACAAAAATCCCCTGTATTTGCCATTTTGTAATCTTTGTACTTATTAAACACATTCGTTGCACGGTTTCTCAATGTCTACTGTATGGACTGTTGCTGGGTGGCTAGGGTTTAATCCGTTCAAGCAAATAGTTCGGCGGCAGTGTTTCATTAGGTGGTGGCTTGTTGCCGCTCGGGGTCAACACCGAAACGACGACGGGCCCTGCAGCGAAGGTAAGCAGAACCAGCGCAGCGTTTGTAGGTACGCTGCATCCGACTTACTAACCGCGTGCTTGCATGCTGAGTCACTTTATTTCAGGTGGTGGGTTTGCTATATTGTCCTAATGCTAGTTTATTTCGCATTAACATCTACCTGAACTATCTTCTATAAACTTGCACAAGTCCCTTAATCTAATTATAGTAAACTTTGATAACATTTTCGCGGTTGCGGCATTTTCTTAAGATATACTTTCTGACGTATTGAACTTTTCGCAGAAATGTTGCAACAAATTTATTTCATTTAGTGAAGAGTTATGTCACCGTTTTCTTATGCATTACTCGATGTATTTCATTTGATATCATCGTTTCAAGTGATTGGCTGTTGCTTGACATCCTCGGTGTGGCTGCGCTTGATGTGCATATTGACAAGGCGCCCACTACCTCCTAAATATTGGCTCCAGGAGAGAGTTGGTCGTTATTGGAAGGGTCATTTTGGCCCTGCTAGGCAGAAAAATGGCACTAGGGCAAACCGAAAATAACATTACCAGAACATGAAGGTGAGTTGATGACAAACTCATGTTGAGTACAGGTGTTACGAATCCAAGGCAAAGTTTAATCGATGCGAATTCCGTGGACTACTAAAAAGGCCGGTTGCTCAGGTGTGGGAGGAGGCACTATTGCAGGTGGAATAGAAGCCCCATGAGTATGCTCCCATTCGATTTACTAATGTAGACCAATAAGGCGGCGTATGTGGTACGTCTGCCTGCATGCTGAGCAATCTTGCATTTCAGAAGTAGATGTTGTTTGAGCTCCCCGGTGTGGCTGCACCTGACGTGAACGATGACAAGGTGCCTACCTGTCTATTACCCACTACCTAGTCCATACTGGCTCCAGGAGATAGTTGGTCGTCGCTGGAAGTGACAGAGTGCACCGTCCTCGTGACGTTGCTAGGCTCAAAGCGTGGTTTCATCCTGTGTGGAACGGGCTACGGTCCAGCCACCGCCTCGTGTACGTCTGGTGCGAATGATTTCTCAATTAGGCCGGAATGGTTCCGTTCTGCTTGTTGAAGGAGTGTGGACGGGCTCCGTTGATGAAACGTGGCTCCTATTCACATGCCTCCCGGTCTTATTCCTTTAGGTTTACATCGGATAAGGGTGTGTGGGTGGAACTGTGGGTGGTGCAGCGCCAGCCACCCATGGTCCCCTTTGTAGGCGCAGGCGTCCTGGGACTGTCCCTATGGAGGTCACAGTGGCAGGCAAATCCGGATTTATATATATATATATATATATATATATATATATATATATATATATATATATATATATATATATATATATATATATATATATATATATATATATATATATATATATCCCTCGGTACATTCCTTGACCATTTGTTGTACACTTTACAGAAGTACGCCTGTGCAGGTATGTCTCTCTTAGTCGAAAGTGAAAACTAATTTATTTATATATAGAATTAAGTAAGGAAAGATCGCCTACCATGACTGAGTTTTGGTGAAAGAAATCTGGTCGCTCATCAACCCCCGGGGAGGACGACGTCAATGTTAAGTTTAGCTCACTTCTTACTATTGAACTGTCAGGTTTGAGTGACTGCATTTGAATGGCGGCGCAAGGTCTGAGTTAGGTAAAAGTTAACGAAAGCAGGAAATGAAGTCACTGAGGACAGAACTGGGTTCCTTTGGTCCGTTTGTTTTCCAGAATGGGGCTCACGTGACTCGCCTTGTGGTTTACTCGACAGCTTGCAGGATATGGATGGCAGTCCGTATCACTGTGGCGTCTGTCAGCGTCTTTTATTCGGATTGTCTGTTTAAAGTGTGTTTGGTGCTGAGTTATCTGCAGGGTAATGGCTGATTATGACGTGGAGCAGTGAAAGCTAAAAGGAAACTGTCTTGCCGATGCTGCCTTGTCTTTGCAGGGTATGTTGTTGACATAGAGTAGGCGCCTTGACCCTGAATGCTTGCTTAAGGCATTTAGGTCCGACGGTTACTATTCCTCGTTCCGTCAATCATTGTGATTGTGAGTCAGTGAAGCAGCAGTTCAAATGGTCAATGCACTTCTGTTGACGATGAGGAGGAGAGTGACATCCTATGAAATCTGATGGTCAGTCTGGCTTGAACGCCATCAATAACTCAAATGAATTAATATGAATCAACAGAAGTTAACAGCCCATTCGAGAGCTAAAATGAAGAGGTGAAAGGTGAGCACCGGACAACATCAGCAATTCAGCTCGACCGCTTGCTTCCTCACGTAGGACGTACACATAAGTGGGGAGCGAGACAAGGCGAACGGATCCAATTGAGCACACACACACAGAGAGCACTCACCTTACTCGTGGACATTTTGTGAAGTAGAAGCACAGCAGCCTTTGCTCCTTCAGGGTCGCGTATCTCATGCAGTAATTCCGCAATCCGGTGTAGATAGCCCTTTCGAGGCAGTGAATCTAGCAGACCTGGTCGACCAGTCAGCACGGCAACACAGGATTTAGTGAGCAGTCGGAGAAGGATTGCAGACTCCGGAAGTTGACCAATCGTCTACGATACAAAAGCAAAGTGGAAGAAGTATTCCAATGTGAACGAAGGTAGGTGTGCACAGGGATAGAGTCACTCCACTCTAGCTGCACTCACCTCAGTCCATCGTTCCAGTATGCTGTCAAGAAAGACCTCTGGTCTTCGCAAAACCCAACCGGGGCTTGCCACATAAAGATGTAAATACACCCCAGCAACGACGACTGGGCCTGTGGAGGCAATCAGCTGATCCTCATCACCAGATGCTGCGTTACCGTTTAGTCTTTCCGTCGCAGCCTTCATAAGCACGTCAGCGTAGCCCACATGAAATGAGTCTGGTAGGGACCAACGAATCTTGGGGTTCTGGATTTGGTTTGTATAGAAACTAGAGGAAAAGTGAAGAAATGGATACAGAAAGGAATCCAATAGGGATAAACCGTGCATAGAGAATTGTGAAAGGAGGTTTAAAAAACAGGTCGCAATGTAAGACGTCAGTGTAAACATTTAGGGGATGCAAATAATGAAGATGTGTGTGTGTGCGTGTGCTCGAGACGCCGACGCAACATCGTGTCTTCAGCTGACGGAACAGAGAGAGAGAGAGAGCGTGAACAGCTCAGTGATGATGTAAAGGGTTTAGGCAGAGCACGAAAATGGTCGGTCCTGATGAAGCGAATAAGACAAGTTGACTGGATAACTAACAGTGCACTCTAAGCAAATGCAAAATATACGCTTAGGCAAGGGAAAGAAAAAAGTAAGAGCTGAAAGAGACAGGGAGGCGGATGTGCAAAACGTCAAAACGAGAAATTCGGATTGGGATCCGTCAAGGAGTTAGTCGTTAGGCACTAAGTAACGAGTTCCCCGCCCAGCCAGCATCGCCCCGTGAGGTGATTTAGGGTTTTGCTAATCGCCGCCATCTCTAGCGATGAAGCGATCTGAGTGTTTCTCTGAAGTGTCGAGTTTACAATGCCAAAAGCGGTCCTGCTCCATAGTCTGTTTGAGCAAAGGATGTTGTGAGGCTATCAGTGCGGTGTTGGATCACCGCTGCCTTCGGAGAATTGTTGGTGCACTATGTCAACATCACACTAGTAATGAGGACGTTCGACGAATGATTTTCAGAGCAGACAGAATTTGCCGGTCGCTGAGCAGCATGATTCCACTGCGTAAACTTCAGTGGCTTTGGCACGTTCTTCTCATGCCTACCCATCGTTCACCTCGCCGTGTCATCTACGCGCGCATTCGGCTGGAAGCGAAAGCAAGATGGTCAACGTAAGACTTGGATCCGAAGCATAGAAAAGCTAACGTCAAAGTTAGTCATGGTCGGGCGCTCTCGACTCCCTGAATGGAGGCGCAAGGATCACGAATATGCATGGCTGATAACGCTCTCGGATGCAGAAAGAAACCGTGCACAATGACGAGCATATTGTGACACTCTACTCCCATGAGCACAGCGTTACATTATTTTTCTCTTTTCGTTTGTTTATTGTATTTACGATACGTTGTATCGCTAGGTCAATTGTACTAACGGCATAGGCTGTGGCGCCTCACAACTCCATGGAAGCGCTAGTGTTAGTAAACCCTGCTGAAAATACAGAGATTGAGGTCAACATACAACAGCAATTCACAAATAATGCATAAGGGTTTCAGTGAGATTTGGGTACAATCGGTTGATGCGTTTATCGGGAAAGATTTCGCTCATGATGCAAAAAGCATCGTCAGTCCAGGTAAATCAATACACAACTGAGTGGACACTATAAGGTGAAAGAGGGGGATAATAAAAATAATTTAGATTTAACACAGGTTAAAAGTTAGTGAAAATACTCCGATCAGATTGGGAACATGTCAAGGATTTCGCCGTCCATAGCGTTGACAGTTACGGACTTGGTGACGATGACAATGTCGACCTTATCTCATCAACCCGACCTGTGTATAGATACTAAACAGAGTAGCCGAAATAAGGTGGTTCGGCATCAACTGCATTCCAAGAGTTAGAAGAATCCACAAAGGCCTCTGGGATGTTGTTGAGAGATCGTGAGAGTAAAAAGGTATCGGGGAAATAGTATCAATTTCCGATATGTATGCAGCCGTCAACCAAGCGGCTACATTTAGCGGAACTGACAACCGCCATGAGTCCCGACGAGCAAGACACCCGAAAGGATGCACACAGAGAAAGCTCGGGGTTTGGATTAGAATACAGCATCGAAAATAAGACGGAAATCTTGTTGAGGGGTATGGGGAGGAGAGATTTCCATGCCACAGTGAATGTCATCGAAGGTTCCTGTGATAAATCAACAGGCAAAGAACGACAAATGTGAACCGCCAAACCAGAGCAGCGTGTCCGCTAAAGTGAACACTCACTCTTTGCTTTGAAAGCTCACGACGCTTGCCAATTTGTTGCGAAACTCGGTGTTCCAAATCAGTTCCGGGTTTTCATGATCAGCTGTAACAAAGCGGAACAGCGACATCAATATGTGCATATTTATTGGGAGACTGTAGTGAAGTGATGGATGGGGAATAAGCGCGCTCAATAAGAAGTGCGAGCAGGCAGACAGGACGGATACCTTAATTCACTGGGGTGCAAGGTAGCGACAGCCGTTAAATGAATACAAATAAGGTGAATTTGAGTGGGATACCTGAGACATATGGGGACCAATGTATACACATGGCAATATTCGCAACAGATTTTTTCGTTTTACTTTGCATGTCATAATCCGTCCCCTAAATAGTTTGTGCCCCATCCACGTACGGCGACCGCTTTCTAGTCCACATTTCACAACTCGTTCGATTAGGGCTTCCATTCCGACGGTGCCACACACATGTGAGACTCGTATGCCTATATGCTCTCCCCCGCGATTCTTCACATCAAACATTGCGTTCGCTAGCATAAATTAACATCTCAGCGTTTTCTCTTCTGGCTTCCGCTCTTTGTGTTTGTATCCCTGATGCGACTGAAATGGTCTATTCGAAATTTAATATACCTGTTTATAACGTATTTTCTGAAGGTCTAAGCTGAAAATGGTGGGAAAGCCCATAATGCGCTGAGATTTGTGATGGATATATCTTAACAGATAGTCCACTCGCAGTTGCTCATGCTTGTAAAAAGGGATTGCAGCGGAGTGTGCAACGTTCGCCACTACTGCATCCGACGTGGCCAGTCAATCACAATGGCAAATGGAACAAGAAACTCTCTGAAAGAGTAAGCAGTGTTGGTGATTGTTGCATTCCTGGATGGGGACCTCGGAAGTAACCGCATTGCTCGTTGGGTGTCTTACCGAGCAGTTCGAATCCACCAACTTAGTGATGGGCTTGTAGTCATGTCATCATTTCTGCTGCTTAGATACTCCGACTGACGAGGTTATTTCTTCCTCATTCCGCTTAAAACTTAGTATTATTATCATGATTATTATTACGATAAAATATTATTAGCATAATTTAGGCGACATACACCCTGATGCACAGACCTTATTGGATAGGCTGAACTACACTGAATCGTGCCGAGAAGCTGACGTCTGGAGAGATTGGCGAGAGTATCTAGCCAAATCCCGGACAAAATCCCAGTACAAGGAGAAACTTCCTACAAAACTTCGCAAATTCCAAAGTACAACATTTCGACAGGACAATCTGATTTAAGCTGTTTCACGAATTTTCCCCAGCAGTTTACATACAAGTAGCAAAATGCCGACCAGCGTCAGATGGACATTGGTCGTCTTCGATACACCAATGACGTCAAACGTTCCATATCTACACAGGAAACCTGGCTATTTCACTAACTGTACGTAAAAGGTGGATGAGAATAAATGAAATAGCTGAATTTAAATTATCCAGTTGAAACAAGGTGAAAGGTTATCAGTTATGAGCACAGAATACGGGAAAAAGTAAGGTATCCAAGCATAATCAGTCCTGTAGGTACAGGCAAACGCTTGGGAAAAACAAACTGTCCGAAGTGTTGATTGCTCTAGGGGGGGGGACAAATCCAGTTAGAGATAAGTGTAGTAAGCGCACCCTGGGTGGCTTTTTCAATATTAGTGCTACACCATTTCCTAACCAAGTGGATCCATACTGGTAGACATTTCCGCTGTGCACTGATCAAATTCATCCATTATGCAAGCAGGCTAGTCCATCCATCAATTCAATTTGGCTACTGAACGAAACAGTGTAGAACTGGAGTTGCGCTAAGTATCAACTAATTCGACCAAAATGGTTTAGATACAGGAAACGAAGAGACGGAAGACCAGATGTGTGGAGCATGTGTTTCACAAATGAGAAGCAGGCAATACTGATTCCAAAAGCCTATCGTCGAGTAGCATGTTTTAAGGTTACGCGAAAGTGTATGCAACCTAGAAGAGAACAAAATCCAACAGTATAGGTACATTGCGATGCTAACTGAAAGACATGCATTAACTGTAACAATACATTAGCAAAGAAGAGAGATGAAAGCACAACCAGTCTCTGCTTACCATCGAAAAGGTTGAGAAAAGCTTCTGGCGTGTCACGTAAAGTCTCGGGAAAGATTGGCGGTAAATATTGACAGAGAAGGGCCTGGATACGACGTCCAACTTGTTTATCAGCCAAACAGTGTGACAACAAATTCACGGCGGCCTCACGTACTCGCCGGGAAGGGGAACGTACGAGAATTTCAAGCAGGTAAACAAGACCACCAGAGTAGACGAGTTCCTTCAGCAGAGGAGTCGACATTACCAAATGATCGAATGTCTCGATGAGTAGTTGATGACCTAAAATAGTGTGGTGTAAGTGCAGCATAAGGTTTAATGCGTAGGAAATTTAATAATATAATATACTATATAAGATATACAATTATATATATTATATATATAATATATATTACATTAATCGACTAGTGCATGGAAGAGATGACTATTGCACACACCAAAGATTAAGAGACTGGTTGATATAACACGTCCTGGATGTTTCGGCTCCTAATCGAAACGGGTGAAATGCTTTTCGCAGAGCAGCCAAATGAATTCGGATCGTTACTGTCTAAGTGATACAGCAGCCTGACGCTGTACACACGAGTAGAGACTGGGAACGGAATGCGTAAGGTAGCACGACCAAGAAAAGTTGGACTGGACGAGTGCATAAGTTCGTTTACTAACTCAAGCAAACGCAGAACATGTCTTCTACACCTTCGTATATATAGCTCAATAGCGTAGCGATGTGACACATAAACGACAGAGAAAAGTGGGTGTTGGCAAGGCACATGGGTTACCAAGTAGTGGTTGCGTCCTGAAAAAAACGTAATTGAAGTCGGTGTGAGTTGGGATGTCAGTGGGGAGAGCTGAGGTGGAGTCCACATAGTAGGTCGGCCGTCACCTATGCAGTCTCAGCCGCCGCATAGTGACAATACTACCGAGGCGAAATCGGGCGAACTCTGTGCATGTTTTATGGAGGTATGCGAGCGCCACAACACTGTTTATGCCTGACCCTAGATGCAGGTGAACTACTGTTCATAAATGGCAAGGAAACAATACCATTAGTTTGAAAGCGTCCTTCGGTGTGTGAAGACATACGGGATTGAACTCACCTCGTCAACGTTGGGTGGGTTGTGTTTTTCGTGTGCCTTCTGGCAGTCTACGTCGGTGTGTGTTAAGCGCCCGTACTGTGACTGATTGCGTGAAACCCAAGAGGGCACCGAATAATTCCGTGGCAAAAGTATGTGGAAATTAACAGAATGGCTTTGCAAAATAGGACCTTAAAGCCGCAATGAGGATGTTGCCTAGTCTGACAGTGAAACGTCTGCAAAACAAGCATTCAGCTCGGAGAGCAGTTTAAAAATCCACAATTTTACAGAATGGACTAGCAGCTTTGATGCATGCAATACCACTGGATGAGGTCTGTGGATAGGTCACACGTGGTGAGTTATCACATTGTAAATGACGCATTCGCGAAGTCCGTGGCTCTCTCGAGTTCGTTTCCTTTTCTGAATTTTTGGCCATACCATCAAATGACCTTAATTACTAATACATTCCTTTTGATTCATCCTTGTTCAGAGTGGAAGTAATTAGCAGTGCTAGTATCGCCGCTTTGGGTCAGCCGCGTGTCCATGCACGGATAACTATTGGCAACAGTCGATGGTCGGACCGAGATGCTTGCAAGGGGCAGAAGCCAAAACTGATCGCAGAACAAGGTGAACACAACAACGATGTATGGAACAGGCAACAAGTATGTTTCCAGTTCCAACTCTTAAACGGAGCATGTCTGACCTCTTAACACTGATCAAGTTGGAAGGGACAGATTTTCAAACGATTAGAAGCGCAGTTCAGTGAAAACAGGTGGACCGCAGATGTGCCCAGATGACTGCACCACCTCAAGATAAAGTCTGGTTGGGACGAAACAACTAGGATCATGTAAGTTATCGTTGCTCGATCGATTCAACCTTGGCGTAGTCGAAGTCCCCCTTCCCCTCCCAGCAAAGCAGATTTACGGGACAGCTGTATTCTTTAGGTGCACTTAGAGAGGAGCAGCGGATAAGAGTGGCAATGCATCCGCGATGTCCATAATGCAGAGGTTATGAAATACAGATACAAAAGAATACTTCTTGCACCTCTTCGAGTAAGAAGACTGACGTCGGAAGGTAACCGAAGAAGTATGATGGACAAGCCCAAGTGGAATGGAAACACGTTAACTAAAGTAAACGGCGCGTGTGGCGTGAGATCCACTACGATCATGATACACTCAGAGATACAAGTGTAAAGCACCGTCATAGTTGTTTTGACGCGCGGCATTAAAATCCGTTGTGGAATGAGTGGCAAACTGCTGTTCGGATTTGGGGCACTTTCAAAAAGCGAGATCATGCTATCGCGCGGCTAAACAACACGCAGCAGCTTTCGTAGTGCGCAGAATGGAGTCCGAAATCAACACAAAGGAACAGATAGAAGCGCTACACATGCAAGTGTCTTATCGGAACCCTCAAGATGAAAATGCAACTGAGTACAGCAACAAAGACCTTGGTGATTCTGAGTGTTCAGCAAACAAGCAAAGCCGATGATAGAAGTGATCACACCAGGCAGAAGACTAAAAGCATGAGGGTGCACTTACACCGAGGTAGGCTGGGGAATAACATCGCCATGGATGATAGTACCTGAGAGGCCGCAATATCCGCCAGGCATTCGTTGTTTGAGGACACGGACTGGATCACCTGTGAGAGGAAGCGGGTAAAATCGATATGCATACGAAGAAGGTGCATCAGTTGGATTGGCACAGTGGCAGTTAGTCCATTAGAGTTCGCAATCATAACAATGTGATTGCATGGAAGCAAAGCAACAGGCCAAGTGGGACGGTAACCATAATCAATATAACGCGCTGGCTATCTAAATGACAGACCCGTGACCACTCGATAAACACATTCGAGAAAGACCCCACCAGTAGTGGGATGGGATGCGATAAGAAGGAAAACTCCCCAGCAGTTAAAGAGTTATGTTGCATTATGCGTCAAGCTGTTCTCACATGTATGCGGAAGAAATTACTGCGAAGACAAGTGGGCGTGACCACAGATGAGGTACCATATGAGATAAGAACAGAACTCATAAACAAGAAGATGAGGGTCACCGGTCTGCTCTCGCTGGCTGAAATGCGATGTGCTAAACGACAGAATATATTTGGCCTGTATGCATTTTTTCATACAGTACAAGTTTATCGATAGTATATGCAATAACTATCCACCTACGGGATTGCAGACAAACGTCCCATGTGAATTAGTGCACCAACCTCTAAAGCCCGCGTCTGCAGCTCCGGATAACCGTGCAGTTGTGTGATGGAGAACAGAAGTGGAAAATGTCCGATACATTGCACCTCGACACCTTTTGAGAGAGATAAAGAGAGAGAGAGGGCGTAGTGTGTTCCGGTAGAACCGAATGTAACCTAAGTAACTGGGCCGGCTCTCATCGTTGAATTTGATTACGAAAGAAAAGAGTAACAAACGCGCATATTTGATAACAATGCTCAACGACAGATGAACAATAATGGAAATTACTATCGAGTAAGAAGGATTTCGGTATAAAAGCAGATGTGGTTCGTCACAGTTCTCTTTCAGTCACGCAGGCTCCTACACGTCTGGAAAAGCACCAGACAGCTGTTTCGACCTCCTGAGTCCCGTCGGCGGTGCATGTTCCTCGGTCCAGCAGCATGTGCCACCGAACCATTGGTGACGGCGGCGGAACTACATAACTAGCAGTTGACTAAGGTATAGTGCGGACCGGTCTCCACTGCCATTTCAGTTACCAACTGTGCAGAGGGCAGTGGTTGGCCCCAGAGGTACGACTTCCCGTATAGTGAATGTGTACGACAGGGCACTTAGAAGCTGTATGGACGGATTTTTGACTACTGATAAGTAGTGGGGAATTTTGTGTGACCTTAGACTTAGCTCGTTGCAGTGCGTCTCAGTCACGCAAGTGCCCAAACGTCTGGAAAAGCCTCAGTTATTTTGACATTTTGGGTCTCGTCAGTAGTGCGTGTTCATTGGTCTCCCGCCGGTTTCCGACCCCATTACTTCCGCATGCCAGAAGCTAGTGCAAGTAGATTAAAACAGCTGCCCCGTGCCTGTACAAAAGTGTGGGAACCTGCGTGACTGGGTAGGGATTGCGACGAATTACATCTAAAATAATGCAAATGCCGGGAGGCGCGGTCATCATCGAGTTAAGCATAAAGTACTGGAAAGGGAGTAGAAAAGTAATTGGAATTGTCCAAGAACATGCTTAACGATGACGACTGGGGAGAACTCGCAGTGAACGCAGTGAACGGCCTGCGAGCAAAAGCATACCAAACTAACTCACCGACATTGTGGTGGATGACATTTGATAGAGCGTCCAGTGAAATAATCAAACGGGACAAAGTCAAATTAGAAATGCTTTCAGCTTCAGCTGACCAATCAATATCGTCGAGTTCCGAAAGTGACGCGGACAAATCCGAATTTGCCGGCTCTGTGCAATCTGACGTAATGGGGAACTCGGCTTTTTGAGCCGCTTGTGGGACCACATTGACAACTTCCTCGGCGATGAATTTCAACAGAGCGATGGTGAATGCCTTCGGATCCTATGAAAACAATACACGATACTCAATAAAAAATGTTAAGATTCACAGTGAATAGCGCCCATACGTACGGACAAAGTAGCCACTCAAGGACAGGTTAGCTCGGTCACAGACGTTCACATTGTGAGTATATTTTTTTGCTCGTGTCGAGCAAGGTACATATTGGGAAAAAGACCAGGTGACTGTCCCTTAGAGCTCGAGAGCATTGGCCAGCTTGGTTTTACAGCGGTGTGAGGAAGTATGTAACGAGTGCAGTGTTGTCGCACTCGGTGGACTTCGTCCACCAAATCAAGTCTCATAATGCATTCCAGCCTATCTACTGTGTGCCAAACACGAGTGACCAGATGTCAGCTGATGTCGACAGCAGAATCGATCGCAGGTTGGCTGCAAAACCCGGACTTGAGTGTACGGAAAGAGTGTTCAAGCCCTTGGATTATCTTGACCACAGGCGAACACGACTAACAATAGTGAGCACGGCTTTCATACCAGTTTCGCATTGGTTAGATTAATCAGGTAGCATCATCGACCGGATATTTCGATTTATCGACTCATTGTGTGTAAATCCCACGTGTCGATTCTGACCACCTTAGTTGTGGTTGCAAAAGGCTGATTAGAAACCACTGAAAACTGGCTTGTTCGTTACCTCTTAATTCTAATAAAATGTGAACAATTAAGGTGGCAGCATGGTAAGTTGGAGGATAGTCACGTAGAGGCTTGGCACAACATGCTACTCAACTAGACCTGGTAGATACTCAGCTCTGTTGTGTTGTCAAATGACAGAAAGGGTGAAAGAATCAGTGAATCTTGGGTTGGGAAATGGAACCAGCACAAAAAAGTTGTGGTGAGACCGGGGATCCGTGAGGATGGAAATGCCATCGAAGCGAAGAGTAGAGGGAAACATTGAGATGAGGCAACTACCGAGTAACTAGAAATGCTAGCTGTGTAACAATGTCCCCTTGCCAACGAGGTTAATTCATGTGTACAGATCAAGACTGACAACAATTCGTTAGTTAGTTCGACGCACTCATAGAAAAAGAAGGAGACAGTTTACATCAGAAACCCTTTGGAGAGGTGAACGTCAAATGTATTAGTTAATGTTACAATCTGAGTACCAGACGTTTCAGCAGACGAAAACACAAAGACCTGCGTGTGGAACGTGTCATATGTTCGGGAAAGCATTTGGCATTATATATATATATATATATATATATATATTCACAGTCTGTTAACAGACATTGTGCCATCTGAACTATGGCATAACAAAAAAGTGCAGAAGATAGAAACACGAAATGCGATAAAAAACGATGTTTTGGTTTTACACATTCCATTTTGATATTTTTGTTTTGGTTTCGCGAGTTCTGTATGCATTAAAGGGGGGATAAAATGGCACAACATTGACGCCACTGATGACTGTTGCGGGCCATGATATCCAATGTTTCCAACCACTGAGATTCAGCATCTCGTGGAAGACGGACTCGTCCGGCATCCGCCAAACCTGAGATAGCATTCTTCATGCTCCTCCTTCACATCGTTGGCTGTCCACCGCGGCACTTTTTCCAATCGCTCCCTGGGAGTGCAAATAGCACTCGACGTGGAACGCGATGGGCTGGCATGCACAAAACGTGCCCGAGCCAACGCATACAATGTCGGAGAATAACGTTCTGAAGACTGGCATGACTCGTTCCAAGCACTCGGTCTCGGACATAGTGTTGCCACCACACCCGAGCAATCCTTCGTAGACAGCGATGGTTGAAGACTGACATCCGCTTCATGTATTCCGAGCGATTAGGCCGTATCACAGTCGTACAAGAGTACTATACGGATGGAAGCATTGTATCCCCTGCCAATGAGCTTAAGACTGACATCACGACGACGTCATAGGCGTCTCAGTTTGATGAATGCAAGGTGGGCCTTTGCAATACATTGTGAGACCATCTTCAACACCGCCACCAGCAGTGATGCAATTCCCTAGATAAGTAAAGCAAGGGACTTGCTACAGAACGTGTCCAGCAATGGTGAGCGCGGGTTCAAGAACCTGCCAGTCCTGGAGCAGCGTTTTACATTTTTCCGGAGTGAGGCTAAGCCGGCGTCTAAGCCTCCATCGCTAAGCGGTCCAAAGCGCTCTGGACGGTTTGTGGGTTGTCCCCCAGCAAGGCGATATCATCGGCGTAGTCCAAGTCCGTGACTCTGTCTCCAGAGAGGAGCTTAACACCACAGTCCTGGATACGTTCCAGTGCTCTTTGGACGACAACTTCGATGGCGAAATTGAAGAGGGAAGGTGAACTTAGGGCAACCTTGGCGAACACCGCTGATCACAGCAAACGAAGAAGAGAGCGTGCCGTAATCCCTGACTTTTCCCAATGTATAACTGTAAAGTTCTTTCAGAATGGTTACAAACTTTTCGGGCGCACCTTACTTCAGTAAACAATTTCACAACGCAGATCTTTCTCCGAATCAAATGCCGCTCGGATGCCCAAAAACACTACCATTCTTGGCCACTGGTGGATATGAGGGAGTTCGAGAAGTTGGCGAAGCGTGGGGATTTGGTCGATGCAGCCGCGGCCTGAACGAAGGAAGATGCCGACGGAATGAGAATGAATCGATCGACCATCCCAAAACGCGGCTCAGGACGTAAGCAAAAAGCAACGGGGTAAGTGAATGGCTATACGAACAGAAGAGAGCAAAGCATATGACGGAGATACTGAGGGAGCCATGTAGCATCGGAAAAACAAGACCATGTGACGGATAGTTTTCTAGTGCCCACAAACTCGCAAACTCACCTCCAGCTGGTACGACGGTTGTTTGTTGTACAATCGGACGAACACCTCCCCGATGAGCAACTCGTGAGCGTAGGCGCTGTGCGTGAAGTGGGAAGGAGCATGCAAGTCACAATCGCCCTGCATGAAAGGTGGGAGAAAACGAAAAGAAAATATGGACACATAGAACTAAGCAAATTTACAAAACGAGCCATCCATGGTGTTAAAGAGGAACAGTGTTAAGTCTGAAATGCATTGGAAATCAGTGACACAGATACGTTGGTTGCTGATGCCCAACTAAAATGACGTTTCACTACATTCGATGTGAATTTCGTGGGTTATGTTAGTTGATGGTTCGACCTGCGTCGATTTGCTAAAATATTCTATCTACGGTTGGGCAGATTTTCCGCCCTGTTAATGAAGCAACTTCCAAGAAATTAAGAACAGACCTACACACACTAAATGGAAACTCGAGTCAAGCGCTTGTCGTTGGGGTGAAAACGGAGAGAAACAGTCGGACCACAAAAGATGCGCGCAGGAAAGCACAAGTGTTGTACTTCATTGGTGGAAATGCTCGCAACCGTATTGATAGTGCGGAGGTGGAAGAAATTAATGTCGGGTGCAGGGATTTAGCATAAGCCTGTTCAGGCCCACAAGTCTGGCCTGGTCCTGTTGATAACTGAAGTAAATTTGGAAGAAATAATTCTAAGAAGGACCATGGCATGGATGCCCCAGTTGTTCTGAGTGAATAAATTCCAATAGGAGATTCCTATGAACGGTATAAATCTAGTATCGAAGGTCAATCAGAATAATGCTGGTGCTTTAAACCGAACTTTGGGAGAGTCAATAGCTTTTATGTATTTTCTACGGCTGAAAACAATTTGATTTCAAATGTTAATGCGCAGCACTAGGGAAAATTTGATTATCGATCGCAGCATTCTACACTGAATGCCGTGCTGTGCATTGCAAATTCGGTTGAGTGTTCAAATGCCCAGGGAAGAACAGAAACACCAATGCTGATCGTCAACATCATTAATACACGTTAGCTGAACGTGAGGAACACGCCGCAACTAATGTGCCGCAAAACAAAAAATATAAGAGATCAAACATTAGACTAGAAAAACATCAAAATGTAAGTCATATTATGATGAATATCATATTATGCACTCGGCATGAGATCGCAATTTGAATAGAATCTAAAGGAAAGGAGGTCGGCTTTTCGCCATGCTAACTAGCCTATCCAATTAAACGGGTTTCCCATCCTTTGGACTACAGCCCGACAGTCGGGAGACAATTATCAAGGTCTATTTCGAAGTGAGGGACTTTATTTCTTCTCCTCATCCACTTCTTCCATTCACACCCCAGACACACGAGCAAACAATGCATGTCGAGGGAGTCGGTGTGCTTGCATGCACAACACAAGATCCAGCCATCGGAGCTTGGGGCGTGAAATAAAAATGCTGAGTGGCTCATTTGCTCTTCCCACTCAAAATACGCAGCGCCGAACACGATCATTACTCATGTGGTGCTCATACCAGACATGAGCTAAGCTGTGAAGGCAGCGATGGTCGAACGTAACAAGCGTATGTATGTTTGTTGAGTTGATGGGCCAGGTTTCGCAACCGTACAGGAGGGTTGATCGGACGGCTGCATGGTAAACTCTGCCCTTCAGAGCGACAGCGATGTCATGCCGGCGGAACAGTTGGCGGAGATTGGCAAAAGTGCCTCGACAAATGCTGTATGTCATGCTGTCTGAGAAAATGTTCATGCGAATGTGATCATTTCGATGAACAACTAGTTTGTAAGTC